AAAAAAAAAAAAAAAAAAAAAAAAGCCAGTAGATATAGAGATGGAGTTGAACTGTTTTCTACAACCTGAGCTATTTTCTGAAACTTTATTTTTAAAAATTATTTATTTATTGGACACAAAACTTTTGTATATACGGAGGGGAGGGGAATGGGATAAAGTAAAATAAAATTTATCAATTAAAATTTTTTTATGGGACTGGGGATTTAGCACAGTGGTTCTGCCAACTGCCTTGCAAGCGCAGGGACCTGAGTTTGATCCTTGGTACCAAAGGTAAAAAAAAATTTTTATTTATTTGGAAACAGTTTTTATGTATTCAGATACATTGAGGTTCAGAAAATTAATAGATTCACACAGCTCATTGTGTGTTTCTTTTTCCTTATGGATTATAACTAAATGTGAAAGTTTATGATATTTAAAAATGTGAAATAATGGGCCAGGGATTTAGTTCAGTGGTTCTGCCACCTGCCTTGCAAGTACAAGGTTTTGAGTTTGATCCCTCTTACTGGGGGAAAAAAAAAAGGGAAATAAATTATGTAAGAGGTAAGAACATGAGTGATTTATTAAACTTGTTTCAGAATATTCAAAGACTAAATAGCACAGTACCTAAAATTATGATTTTATCTGTAAGGCCAAATTGTTTAAAGTATCCTATAGATCAGATGTTCTGTGGGAATTTTTCTGAGCTTTGTAATGTTCCTTTTTTTTCCTGTTAAGATGCCTGAAGAGTCAAAGCTGACCTTGGATGAATCATGTGACCTTGATGTTGAAAATGAAGACATTCTAACTTTGCAAGCAACTCTGGAAGCGCTTAGCCTCTCTGAATATGTTAGCACTTTTGAAAAGGAAAAGATCGATACAGAATCTCTGGTATTGATGATAATTTAATTCTTTTTTTTGTTTAAAAATATTTTTATTGTAAGATTGAGAATCAAGAATGGTTGAAACAGGACTATGAATCTAGCACAGTGGTTCTGCTGCCTACCTCACAAGCACAAGGACCCAAGTTCGATCCCTGGTACCATACCAAAAGAATGGCTTATACAGGGCCGGGGTTTTTAGCTCAGTGGCACCTTGCCTGCCTTGCAAGTACAAAGTCCTGATTCAATCCCCAGTACCAAAAAAGAAAGAAGAGTAGCTTAAACAGATCAAAATTTATTCCAGTAAGGCAAAGACTTAGGTGTTTAAGAATTTGAACAGGGCCAGGGATTTAGCTCAGTGGTTCTGCTGCCTGCCTCGCAAGTGCAAGGTCCTGAGTTCTATCCCCAGTACCGAAAAAGAAAAAATAGAATTTGAGCAAAACAGAATTATTTTTAGAAAATATGAAAGCTGTTATGAGTATTACACAAAACACAGAATCCATAAAACAAAGAAATACATAGCAATAGACATCGTAAGCAACATCTCAGTAGTTGATGAATAAAAATATTTGGAACACATGTTGCAGACAGAGGGCTTATTTCCTTAAGAGTCAAAGCTTATACAAAGCTATTGGTAAGAAAGTAATAAGTAAACAGGAAAAGACTATAAAAAGATGGTTCATAGGAAAAGAAATAAATGACTTATATGAAAACTCAAAGAAATGCAGATTAGAAGTGAGTAATTTTTTTGACCTATCAACTTGAGAAAAATAGATTTCATAATATACTCTGTGTCCAGAATGAAGAGAAGTAGGCACTGTTGTATGTTGTTGATGAGAATGCAAATCAGTAGTTTAAATTGAGAGTGTAACTTGATTTTTTTATAATTGATATAAAACCTCTATAGATAGCAGTTTCAGAATATCTTTTAAAATATAAAAGTTACATTCCCATGCCCTACCAATTTTGCTACCAGGAATATTTTCCATAGAAGAATATTCACACAAGAATAGCTACAAAGATACTCACTGAGGCACTGTTTATAACACAGTGAAACCTTCAGACTGTTTCAGCACCTACTAGTAGGGCATTAGTTAAATCACTGCAGTGTATGTCCACAGTGGAGTGAATGAGTGAAGCCCTATCAGAGAAACTGATTTCAGATGCATCATGTGAAAAGAGTGAAGTTCACACTATGTGTATGTAGACTACACACACACACACTGGTAGGTGCTATATACGCGTAAGACACCTCTGCAAGGAAAGGAAATTAGCAGTTGTTGTTGAGAGGAGAATTGGGTGGTTGGGACAGGAATGGATGGGAGATACTTCCTCATGGACTTGACTAAAGCTTTGGAATTTGTATGCCATGCATATGTTCTCTGTTAAAAAAAATATCAGAATGTGTCAGGTATAGAGGCTTAAGATTTGTAGCTTAAGTGGATCTTTTATTTAAAAACAACAAAAAAAAACTTTTTAAAAGTTGACTGGCTGTTAGGTAGTTTTAGATGGTTTCTTTTTATAATTTTCACATTCTTATCTGTTCATCTGTCTGTCTCTAGATTAATTGATGTGCTTACTTGTTTTAAAGCTTATGTGTACAGTTGATGACCTGAAGGAAATGGGGATTCCTCTTGGACCGAGAAAGAAGATAGCCAACTTTGTAAAGCTGAAAGCCTCCAAACTGGTAAAATTCATGTCTGTACTCAAGAAAGGCCAACACTCCTTGTGTGACCAACTCATTTTTATTTTAGAAATTTTTAATAATGCCTGTGCTTAGACAAGCTAGGGTGCTCCTTCCTAGGGCACAGTAATGAAGCTGATGGAAGCCCAAACTCTAGACTCCATCAGAACTGGTTTTTCATCCAGGTTTTCCTAGGACCAATGGAGCTCCCTGAACAAAAGTTGTGAGTTTCAAACTGGTCTGTTTAGATTTAATAATAGCTGTTTAGTTTTTTTTTCTTTTTTTGGTCATTTTTTTTCAGTTAAGAAATTTAAAGTAAATTACAGATGTTATGACATTTTTCCTTAAATGTTTAGTATCTCTTGAGGACATTTTTCACAATGCTAGTATTATCTAATATACCTAAATCACTAGTCATTCCTTAATATTGTGATAGCATGGACTTTTTATTAGTACAAGTTTTCTTTTTTTGTTTTGTTTTGTTTTGGGGTACTGGGGATTGAACTCAGGTCCATGCTCTTGCAAGTACATGTTTTCAATACATAATGATTACATTCATCATGGGGAGTTGGCACATGTACACATCACATCTGAGATAGTGTGTTTTGTAGTGATAGTTGAGTTTTAAACTTTTTCTCAAGATTTGGTTAAGAAATTTTGGTTTTTCACAGGAACAGAAGAGAAAAGCATCAGAAAAGAAGGCAGTTACAGCTTTTGCAATGAAAGGACAAGAGGAGAACGTTCCAAAAGCTAAAGAAGTGGCTTCTCTCCCCTCGGAAACTAATGAGTCAAAGAGGAAACTTCCAGTTGGTGCTTACATTTCTTCTGTACATGTTGATTATGAGTCTTTTGAAGTTGGCACAGGACAGGTAAGTTTATATAGACTAGGGCTACATGTTTTTCATTGGAATTGTGTATCTTTATATTGGCTTGGCTTTATATTTGACTTGAAATATCTTTTAAAGTATAAAAGTTACATACCCTTGCCCTACCAGTTTTACTACCAGGAATATTTTCCATAGAAACTTTATATTCTTTAAGTATTTGTATAACATTTACTTGTGGCTAAGCAGAGAAAATTGTTTTCTTTTAGTAAAAATTTTATGCTTTTTATTCAGAATAAGAGATTGGACATATAGAGAACATCTAGCTTTTAAAGTTGTTTTTATTTTGTTTTTTTCATAACTCATAATTTTTCAGGATTAGTCTCAGAACCATTAATAATAGAATTGTGTATAGTTAGAAACTTATATTCAGACTATACCTAAATTTCTGTGAGAAATTTGCTGTACTCGAGTGTTCTAGTATTGACAGTTCTTGCCTTGGGGAAAAATTCCTATAAAAATTAACCAGGTAGTTGATAATACTACATTTAACAATATACTGTAATATATTTGTATCTCAGTGGCTTAGAAATATTACAGTCCATTTAGACAGTGTTACTTTCAGCCTATTTGTAATCGTACACACAGTGTAAGGATTCATCACCATAAAGAAGATGCATGGAGGCTCAAAATGGAACTCGATATTTGATTTATTCTGTTCAAGCTTTTAAGCCAAATTGACTCTTAATAATTCCATTTTAAAAATATCTGTCTTTTTTCAAACATGAACAAATTTCAGCAGACTAGCAAATAAAAGGCAAATGTTTCATTACTTCTCTGCAAAGGCTGAGTGTATAAAAGGGATATGAGCCATTGTGACACTCACTGCCCACTTCTTTCTTAGATGGAGGCTTCTCTGTGAACTTTGGGTTATTTCTTTTCAGCATTAGGACCACACAGGAAGCTGAGTCTACCCTGCTGAGTCCAATTAGTAAAATTTGAAGGAGTGATTTTATTTGACCTGGTTTGAGTTCATTCTGGAACAATTTGTGGCCTGGGTAGTGGGCCACAGATTGATTGACCAAGTCCAGGTCACTTGCCACCTCTAAGGTAGGTGAGTTAAGGCAGGCAGACAGGATCTATTATCCAGAAGGTTGCTGGCCCTCCAAATGATAGCCACTGGGTGGAGTGGTGCACACTTGTATCCCAGCACTCTGGGAGGCAGAGGTCGGAGGATCACAAGTTGTAGCCCAGCCTGGGTATCTCAGGGAGACTCTGTCTCAAAATTAAAAAATGAAAAAGGACTAAAGACATAACTCAATCAGAGGCCCTGGAATCAATTTCTGGTAGCAAACAAACAAAAACAAACAAACATGACAACAAAAAACAAACAAGAAGAAAGACTAATTCTGTTTCCAAATAAAGTTACATTCTGAGGTGTTGGTAGTTAAGACTTTAATATATCTTTTTTGAGGAGTCATAATTCAGTCCCTGACATTGTCATTGCAGGTAATTTGTAGTAGTTCTTTTTTGTTTGTGTTTTTGAGATGGTCTTGCTGTGTAGTCAGACTGGCTTTGAACTGACTGTGTAGCCTGGCTGGGCTCCTCCTCGAAGTCTTGGTGATCCTGTGCCTCAGCCTCCCAAGTGCTGGAATTGCAGGCATGTGCCACCATGCCTGGTAGATTTTCATTCTTTTAAGCAATCCATTGATAAACATTTTGAAAATAATTTTCTGTGCATTTTCTTGATTTCTTGCGTTAAATTGGCAGAAGTAGGGTAGCTGGGCCAGAGGATGTACATATGAAAGTTCTTATAGTTACTGCTACTTATTCCTGAAAAGTATGTTTGTTTCCCACCAGCTGTTTAAGAGGCCTCAGCCTCCACTGGCAGTTTGTAAAGGTTACCCCTCTTCACCTTGCCAGTACCGGTGTTGTTATTCTATCATTGTCCCTTTTTAAAAAACACCTTTTTCAGTGCTGTAGATCTATCCTATGCCTTACATGTGCTGGGCAAGTACTGTACCACTGAGCTACACCTCCAGTCCTTAATGTCCTTTAAAAATATGTGGTAGTCTCACTCTCAAACCTGGTTCTAAAGAGAAAAATGAAAGTAGATTTTTGATGTTCTAATATTTTATTTATGTTTCTGTTAACCTTAGAAAAAATTGGTGTCATATTTTATTTCTTGTTTTCCCCTTTTTCTCACTCTTTTTCCCTCCCTTTCTCCTTTCCTTTCTTTTTCCCTCCCTTTCTTTCTCTCTTCCTTCTATTGGAGGTTGAACCCAGGGCTTTGCACTTACTCTGCCACTGAGCTGCATCCCCAGTCTCCTTTTCCCCCTTTTATTATTTTTAGTGACAGGGTCTCACTAAATTGCCCAGGCTGCCTCAAACTTGGGATCCTCCTGCCTCAGCCTTTCAAGTAGCTGGGATTACCAGCATGTACCATCATGCCTGGCTCACACTATTTCTTTGAACATTCAAGAGGTTAGATATTTGAAGTGCTAAGTTTGCTGGTTTCCATTGAATTTCTGTTTTTACTGATTTTTTTCAACTTTTTATTTACCAATTGAAAAATATAGAGATATTTTTAAAAAGTGTAACAAATAGAAGGTAAACAAAAACAGATCAAATAGAAAATTGTGCAGACAGATAACACTAGTCTGGTATTGACTCAACAAAACATGCTGAAGCTATATTAATTTGACGTTCGTTGTTTGTACTTCAAAGTAAACAAGGATCACAGTGATCATATAATGATATAAAAGGCGGTTCTCTAACAAGAACTAATAGTTTTCAATGCGTATTTCACTAAACAACTGCATAAGGCAAAAACATGAAACTGAAGGGAAAATCATAGATCCACAGATATTACTGAGAATTTCAAAATACCTTCTTCAGTAATTGACAGCTAAAGAAAGAAAAATCTGTAATGGAACAGTTAAAATCAGCATCATGCCTCAAGTGGAGCATTATACTGTATGCAAAAACCAGTGTACTCAGTCCTCTAAAAATCATGAGAAATATTCAGCCAAATAGACTATGGTCATAGCCATAATAAAGACCCAATGCATCAAAAAATGGGAATCCTGCATAGTAAACTCTCACATCATATTGGAGTGAAACCAGAAACCAACAGCAGAAATATACCTAGAATATAGTAACTCTTCCTGTTGTCTTTTATTTATTTATTTATTAAAAATTTTTATTTATTTTTTTTTTGAGACAGGGTCTCACTGTGTAGTTGAGACTGACCTGAAACTCACTATGTAGCCCAGGCTGGTCTCGAACTCACAGTGATCCTCCTGCTTCAGCCTCCCAAGTGCTGGAATTACAGGTGTGTGCCACCATACCCGGCTGTCTTTTATCTCATACTTTACTCATATTTAAGTTTTTCTTAGAAGAAAAACTATGCAATATTTAAGATTGTTTGTCTGATTTACTTCACTTAATATTGTGGTTTCACGATGCATCTATTTTCCTACAAATGCCTCAAGTTTATCCTTCTTTATAGCAGAGTAGTACTCCATTGTGTATAAATACCACATTTTCTTTATCCATTCATCTGTTGATGGACATGCAGGCTGCTTCCAAGATTTAGCTGTTATGAATTGTGCTGCTATAAACATAGGTATGTATACTTCACTGTGGTGTGATATCTTTAATTCTTTTGGGAAGATACCTAGAAGGGGAGTAGCTGAATCATATGGAATTTCTACTTCTAGTTTTTTGAGGTATCTCCGTATTGATATACACAGTGGTCATATTAGTTTACCCTCTCACCAATAATGAAGAGAAAGATTCCTTTCTCCCCACAATCTTGCCAGCATTTATTGTTGGTTGATTTCCTGGTGGTAGCCATTTTTTCAGAGGTGAGAAGGAATCTTTTTTTTTTTTTTTTTT